CTGTGCACCACAACCCTCTGTGCCTCTGTGAAGCCCTTGCACTGTCCACTGCTCTCTAAAGATCCTAGGCTGGTGAAGGAGAAATATTTCTTCTCTGTTGGTTCAACAGGTGACTTTGAAATGACCTATGAATTCTTCCACTTTTGTCAAGCTGAGATCAATAGCTAGCGTCGTTCTAGGAAAATACACATAGGTGTTTTCTCAAGGCATGCTAATTTAAAAAATAAGATCTGGAAAAACACTTGTAGTGTTAGAGGATTCAAAGACTACTCAGAAAAAAAACAACAACTTTGGAATTGTTATAGCAGCTGCTATAATCTATTATGTAAATCATCTGGGAATTAAACCAAAATATTTTGTGAGATAGTTTTTGTCAAATAATAAATATGCTATCATTTAGACTTAATGTTTTTACAGAGGTGTTATTGTTATGGGATGAAAGTGAAACCTCAGAGTACTCCTTATTTTGACTGATGAGGATTTAATATTTATTTATAGCCTTGCCAATGATAACACTCATATATCTGTTCAAGAGAACATATGTTTCTCAAAATTGGGTGTTGGAATTAACGCTGTTGATCCATACCAAGATATATTTGTCTTCTAGGTGTCACCTATGTATTTTCACCAAATTTAATCAGAGATACTAAAAGATAAAAATATGTGAAAAGAAACCCCAAAAGGCATAAGTGCCTTTGGCCGCACTATTGCTTATTTTAATGTTCATTTATATCACTGTAAGCCTCTCTGTAGAAGCTAGGTGGTTGCTTTTCATTGCCTGAGTGTTGCAAACTGGCTTTTATAAAAACAAGAATCAGGGCCTTTAATTCATTTTACCCTTCTGTACAGGGCTGCTGTTGGGACATGTCAGATCATCAGCCTGTTGACTAAAGTACAGTATGATTTCACTAATGACTTGGATGCATACTGCAGATTACCACATTTTGCAAATTAGTGAGTAATCAAACACCATAAAAATCAAGGATACTGCATAATGAAATATACTTTATTCATTTATTTTTACAACCATATATTAGTTTTAATTATTTGCGTTAGCAATTCACTGGGTGCTGGAACATGGAGCTATAGAATGTGTTTCTTCTAAAAATTCTATTTGAGTATCTAATGTATGTACTCTGTTACTAACAGAGTACAAGCCCCTGTTGTAGCACACTGATATACAATCCTTTGTGAGAAGATGGGTGAGCAGCTCTCCCTCGAGTGAGGAGCCTTGTTTCCCTAGGAAGGCCCTGCGTTCTCAGGGCCAGCCTGGTCTATCCTGGTGAAGGTGCTGGGGAGGACTGGCTGTCACCTTGGGAAGGTCATTGCAGCTGGGCTTGTTGCTCTCCTCTTTTGGCTTCCAAAGAGCTGAGGAAGAGAGAGAAACTTATGCTGGGCAGGGTAGAGCAGAAGCCTGACTTGGGTGTCCTTAGCCGCTCACTGGAAGACATCTCTCTTCTGCTCCTTTATTCCACTCCTTCCTTTCCTGCTCCATACATCAAGCCCAGACCATGAAGAACACCAAACTGTATGTTTTACCCCTTGTTTCTGGTGTAATATCTAGTGATGGGTCAGGGAGTGGAAGCTTCTCTATTAGGTACCTGTAGCCTTCAAGGAGGATTTATTCCTGGGCTCCCCCCGAGATGTTCACATCCATGAGATGCCTGCTGCCCACCTGGGCAGAAATCATTCCTTTCACGTCTGCAGGATGAACTTCTGTTTCTCCTGAGCTAGTCTGGGCCCCTGGCACGGAGAAGAAAATCCCCTCAGGGTCTTAATTTCTTGCCATTCCTTTACAAAAACTACTGATTTTTAAAAATATTTTGTGCATGTATAAAACCTCTCTGCAACATGCATGGTCTGTTTGGTTTTTTCCCTCTGTACATTTAATTTTCTCTTCCATATACTAGCTTGTCATCTGGCAGTTCCATAAACTCTCAGTTGTTAAAACAATTTCTTTTTTTCCCTTATATTTTAAGTTTGATCCATGAATGGCCTGTCAAGAGTTTTGTATTATTGTAAGCTGAAGTTTGGATGGTAGCAGCGACAGGCCACTAACCATAATTGTGTTGCTGTTACCACTGTAACAAATTTGTGTCATTTAGCTATTTTGAAGCTTGGGAAGTACATAAAGGCAAATGTAGTACTGATGAATATTTATTATACTGCTGTGGGATCTTAGGTTTAACCATGTTTGCCTCAATTCTTCAAAAATTTAACAGAGTGGATTATATCAGAAAATGGGGGAGAAGTGTGAAAAACCTTACTGCAAAAAATTATTTATGACTGTGGAAAAGACTTAATTATATAATTTTAATAAGAACAGTGTTAGGGATAGTCTTCTTGCAAAGACTGGGTGGGAGACACACACTTGGCCTGACCTGAAGTCAATACACCAGCGTTGCACAAGATGCTGAGCACGGTGTGAGGCACACAGATTTTTGTCATTTGACAGTATTCAACTGAATGCAGGTTTATGCCCCAAATATCTGTGTTTCTTGGTGACCTTATTAGAGAAAGGAAAGTTTCAGCCCCCTCATAGTCTCAGCAGGAGCAAGCCTTTTCCTGCATCACAGTCAGGGCAAAGGAAGGCTGTGTTCTCCACTGCTTCTGAGGCTGGTGGGGTATTATTAACCTACTTGAAACATGATTTTACTGTGTATAAAACATGCTAGCAATTTCAACTTATTGGCAGGACATTGAATTTTTTCTTTTTCTTTTTTTTTTTTTCAGATAAAAATGAATATAGGCAATAGAAAATTGATAGGCATGAGTCATAATGTTTCCCTTCTTTACTTCAAGGAATAATCTTTTTGAAATAGTCATGATCTAGAAGGAATTTTTTTTTAATTCCTGTTGATAATATAGTGTGCATTGGAGACTTGACATAATGAATTATATTTTAGATAATTATAGTCTTCTTAGAAGCATAGCAGCCAGTATTTATCACATATGGAGGACCTCTGTGAGAATGAATCTCGATATTTTTTTTCAGTTTAGCGAGAACTGCAGTTATCTAACAGCCAGTGAGCCACTGTTAATGGCTGAATAAGAACCTTAAAGAAATTGTAAAGCACAGCAACAAAAAGAGCACTCTTTTCATGTGCTGAGTCTGACTGTCCATCAGTGAGTGTAGCTGGGACAGACTGGACTGGTCAGCATGACTTAAGTCAAGAATGACTAAAACTGAACAATTTTTGAGGTTTGAGTAGAGGCTAAACAGACCCTAGATGATCTTATGACTTCTGCAAAAAACTCCACCTGAATTTCATCCATTCAAACCTAGCTAATGGTTATGCTCTTTCCCTTGGCCAGGGAGTGTGTGCAAAATATGACCATCTCTGAATAAGAAAACCTCAGACATTTTCATGAGAACATCTCTCAAGGTCATAAAGTATGTGTGCTAAAGACAAAAGGATATTAATTTGACCATAATTTGTGTGAGGGCTTTCAACAAGGCAGTGGAATGCATATTTTTAAGACTTTTTTTCTCTAGTAATTTAATTTCTCAGGAAATGCTGCCATTAATATTTTATTTTGAGCACTGGGGCGCTAATGGTATTATCCATGTTTCTCTTTACTCCTGACAGTACACTCAACACCAAAAACTTGTTCCAGTAACATATTTATCCCCTGGTACACATAAAGTCTTCTTTTTCTTTCTATCTCTTTTTTTCTCCCCAATGCCCCTCACTTATAAAAAGCACCAATGTTTAGAAAGGCTGAAAAAATAACAAGATGGGGTTCATATGAAAAACAGTGATTTTTCCAAGTGAAATTAGAAACAGGGTCTCTTTAACATGGAAATTTGATTTCTGTACAATTTGAGGACTCATTTCTGCAACTGTCACATATGTAAAATTTCCAGTGAAGTCAAAGAGGCCTTTGAATACAAAGAAACAGCACAATCAAGCTCTGAATATATATATATATATATATTCCATATGCTTTTCTCTCTCTCCCAGTGATGTACATGCTATAATAATTTCATCCAGATAAAACTGTAATAATTTTAATTCTTACAGTCCTTAAGCTGTTTAAAAACTATAATTAATAAAAACAATTTCTGAGGAGAAAAACTCTTTGTGAGAGCATTTAATTAACATCTTTATTTTTTATTTTAATCTGAAAGGGGAAATATTGCATTGTCAGGACATCCTTGAATGATATCCTAGATATTTTGTTTGTTTGGAATGGCTTGAAATCACACAACTTTACTGAATTATAACCAGATAAATATATCTAAGCCTGAGGGCAGGAAGTCCTGGCAGTTGAGATGTGGGGAGCATGCAGTTTGTCCATACCAGATTCTTCTGTTCCCTTTTACCAATAAATCTAGTAGAAAGCTTTGTTTTCACTCTCTGCATGATAAATAAAGTCCCTGTCTATGGTGCCATATTAGTGTTTGGTGCTTATGCTTGTAATTCCTCCTATTCTCATGGAGAGATGAGACCTCTGTGAACCGAACCTCATCAGGTCAGGTTTTGTTTGGGTTACTGCCTATTCTGAAGCAGGGAAAATATCGCATATTGCAAGTCCTCTGGGACTGATGAATCACACCTTGGCTTCGTAAGGTCATCTGCAACAGTTATTCGAGCTGCCAGACCACCCACCTCAATTTTTGATTTTCCACAGTGTCCAGTTCTATCATCGATTTACCCATTTTAAAATTCTCCTCCCACCTCCCCCAATCTCACTTGTAAAAATCATTTGAGAGGAGACTGTAAAAAGTCCTTTGCATGTTCATACAACTCTGTTTGGCTGAACCCTTTAGTAAACAATTTTTCTTGCATGACAGAGCATGTGCTGTGTGGCAGACATTTTTTTGAGGTAGCCTAGGACAGGGCTAATCACATCACCCTGTCTCAGGTTTTGACCTTATCACTGTTGTGCACTGAGCCTAAAAATTGGACACTGGCAACCGCATTGGGGGAAAATAAATGGGAAATGACATTTTAGTTAAAAAGAATAAGTAGATTTTATTTTATTGAAACAAAAGGTCATAGGACTTTTATTTATTGTTCTTGCATGAGAGTAATTAAATAGCTGCCATGTTGCCACGTCAAATGATTTAAAAAAAAAAATAAAAGGGACGATTTCACTTGCCAGGACCCAATTCATGGTTCTGCAGCTGTTTTACATTCAGGCCTTTAATGAAGCCAGTGGAAACTCTACCTGGAAAGCAATAAGAGAATAATATTCTTATGTGAAACATCATTTATAACATCTGTAATAAAGCAGGCTAAATCATACCTCTGCCATTTGAAATCATAAATAGTGTGTTAGCTTTTAAAAGCAGCCTTTGTCCTTTTGAAATCTTTTGATGTCAGGCTGCTTTAGGAAAAGCCTAAGTAGATCTCTTCTGTACAGTGGTTTGATTAAGAAAAAAATCACTACAGAGTCTTCAGTACATCTCTAAAGAAAAATAGTATATAAAAGTGAACCTGGTAATTCATTATCAGAATCAGAAACAGGGGAATTTGTTGATATAACCATTGTTGTTTCCACAAGAAATAATAAAACAAGCTGTTCTAAATTGATTACTGGCATATTTTTTAAATATATGTATATGTATGTGCCTGCATGCAGATTGGTGACATAATCTTTAATAACCTGTGCTTAATAATGTAATTTTTCACTGATGCACTAAACCTCTTATTCATAGATTTATTGGCACCTTTTACAGTGATAGCCTGACTGTACAAAATCAGAGACAAACTCTGGCAGTACTATTTAGGATCTTTCTTAAAACAAAGTAGAAATAGGTCCTGCAAATTCAGAAAAAACAACATGCATTTCTGCAAATTGGAAAATAACAGTTACTTGCAAAATGCCAGGCTGTAGAGGGGGATGTGGTTTGGAAGGCAAATTTGCTGCAGCTTCCAATATAAAACCATGTAAACCCAACGTAAATTCATTGAAAGCCAGATCTGAGCCACACGTGTGTGCCCTGCTCTGCCCTGGGGAACCTGCACACCGCGGCCAGAGCTCAGGCAGCTCTTCTGGGGAGCTTGTGCTGAGGTGCTGAGGCAGGACCTGGGAAAGAAACTCAAATTCCCAATAAAAGGCTGCTTTAGGGTGTTTCCTGAGTAAACTGACTCCAGTGAAAAATTCTCAGCCTTTCCACTCTTGAGGTTTATTTCATAGCTCTCATCTGTGGCACAGAGCTCCCCACAGGCTCACAGCGCTCCCTTCCCCGTGTCCCTGCCTCAGCCCTGGGACAGGCGGGTCCCCAGGGTCACCCGGGTGTCTCCTGCCCAGCCGGGCCCCAGCAGGAGCCCGGAGACCCCGCTGGGAAGGAGCTGCTGTGGGGAGCTCCGGATAAAGGCAGAGGCGCTCCTGGTTGGGAGAAAGGAGCAGACAAAGCTTGTCCCAGCACCTGCCAATCAATCAAACTGAGCACAGACCAGTGGCCAGCCCTGGAAACCCTGGACCGTCTCTTACACTAACAGAGTTATCTCTCCCTGATGTTGCCTCAGACAAGCAGGTCCCAGATGTTACCTGCTTAATAATTTTCCCGTTTCCCAAGGACAAAGCTCCCCGCAGCTCCTGCACCGAGGGCCGGGTGGACACCTGTGGTGGGTGCTCGGAGATCCGCTCTGCCCCGACAGCTGAAATGGCTCCTCCAAGAGGGACAATTGCATTAGGGCTTGATCTTTTTTTTTTTCTTTTTTCAATTTTTTATTAGGTGAAATAGGAGAAGCGCAGTGCTCTAAACCAAGTATAAATGTAATTTTACTGCCCTTCTTTTTGTTGTGTGGATGCCACTTGTCAAAAGCAGGGATAAATCATTAGGTGGGAATTTGTATCCCATGAGACAGGAAGGTTTCAGAAGTTTGAGATGGAGCCTGCTCTTGTCTGCTGTGTGCACGGGGCAGGGTGATTACCAGTGATACCAGGATGCACATCCCCCATTACTTTGGGCCAATATTAACATTTCTTCTTTGCTTCCAGTTTATTGTGACCAAGGGATTGATGACCTTTAGAGCCTAATTTTCATATCATACTTTTGGCATGGGTATTAAATACACTGTAATTGACCTCTTCTGATTTATAACAGAGTAAGGAGACTCAGATTCATTCTGAAGTGGACAAGCTTATCCGCAACTTCCAGATGTTGACAATGGAATTAGTCCCTGTGTGGAAAGAAAGAGAGGTGTTTCTTCAAGCCCATACTCAATTTCCATGCTCCAGCCCCTCTTTGTTCTAACTTGGCCCACACGCTGGTATGTAATGGTAATAGTTGGATATTTTGAGTCATATCGAGAATCTGCACCTGACTCACTGATACATAGATGGATTAGGTGCTGGAAAAAGAGGGTAAATACCTCCATTGCAAGAATTGCAAATAATTGATCTTAAACAGGAATATATGGAGAAAACAAAAATACTGCTATTAAATACACCTTTGCTGTCTGCAGTAGAACACAAGACAGATTTGCAACATTAATTATTTCCACCAGCTTTGAGCCTGAAATACAAATATGTCAGGTATTTAAATACTAATTTACTTAAAAGAAATCTCTACTTTATTAAAACATCATTATGCATATTGGAAAGTTAAAAGTCAAAGCTATGTAGCTGCTGAGGTAAAATTCACATTTATTGTCCACTGAATGTGATGGAAATTGAATTTGTCAGGAAGCTGATTGATATCTAGAAGTGTTTTGTTTTCAGTGACTGGCACTGCCGAGTTACAACCATCTATCATCTAACAGGTAATTAGTCAGATTTCTCATCATGAGCCTTCAATCCTGCTGTTTTATTATTGAAATACCACAAACCAGTAGGCATCTGAATGCAGATAAAGTTCTCTGTCATGGTCTTAAGGACAAAGACAACATTTTGCAACTCAGCTGTAGTAAGTTTGAATAAAAGTCACTGAAATGTGAGGCATGATATTAATATATATGGGAAAATGAGATCCTGGAAAACATCATCAGTGATGACTTCTTTTTTTCTGCAAAAGAATATTTATTATTAAAACCTTCAGTGCTGCAATGTAGAAAAATATGTCCCTGTACAGAAGGAGGTTGGCTGAGGCAGGAAACTTTTTGGAGCTTGGGAGGATAAGGTGGAAATTTGGGTCTGTCTTTCTGAAGCACCATGTCCCTGCCCCTGCATCAGCTCCTCCCAGCAGGACCCCCAGGTCCTTCCAGGGGGCTCCCAGAGAAGCCAGCCCTGCTCCTGCACGTGTCTGTGGTAACCCTCATTTGTCTCCAGAGAAAGCAAAGCACAACTCCCTGAGCTTGGCCCCGTCTCAAAGTGGGCAAGAATGGAGTTTGGGACTCAGGTCACAGCTGACCCCAAAAGTTTATGTTCATCCAAATGAGCTTTGTTGGGGGGAGGTTATAAACACTTAATTTATGGTTGAGTGCATGTTTGAAGCATTTGCAAGCTCCAATAAAAAAAGATAAAATAAAGTGTTTGATAACAGTTGTTACCTACATAACTGTGATATAACTACTTTTTTCTAAGCACCCCTTTTCTTGTCCCCTCATCTCTTTGAAGTGTTCACTGTAGATGATATAACAGCAGTTGAACAAACATTATTAGATAAGGAAATAAAAAAGTAAAAATAAACTGTTACTAGAGCTTCAGGAAAATAAGAACAATGAACTGATTACACTACTCAATGCGCTGCACACTGGGTTCTGACTGTATTCAATGTCTACAAGGAAATTGAAAATGTGTTGCTGTTCATCCTTAAAATATTGCTTTTGTAACAGAATGCAATTCAATGAACTAATATTAGTAAAAGCTTAATTAATGTTCAGTTTTGGGACTAATTGATGTAATCCAGCTGCACAATTTACTCATAGTACTGCCTTGCCAGCAACCTTGGTGGCTTCAGTCAAATCAAAACTTTTTAAAGCTTAATTTTAATGTATTTTTTTTTTTAATATAACTCTGCGTTCATAATATCCCAGCCCTTCAAAATGTCAAGACACAACACCCTTTAGCTCTTAATGAGCCATAAATGTTATTTCTGAGAATTTCCATTGTTGGATATGCAAATTTTATATACTTCTGTAATTCTGAGTTAGAAAGGATAATTCGCTGTAGCTGATAAAATGCTCTTAGTTTATGCTACACACAAGAAAACAATTGCTAAGGAAGTTAGCTAATCATACTAAAAAATGTTTTGATCCAAAGTGTCAAAACATGTCTAGAATGAATAAAATGTCCAGTGGGTATCACTTGTTTAATGACTCAAAGAATTTGACGGTAGTAGAATTTAAATCACAGTGTATATTATCAGATAACATATATGTGAATATTGTATTACAATACCTATTTACAGTTTTCTTAAGATTATCTTGTATTGCAGAGCCAAGTAATTCTGAATTATGAGCTCATCGCACATGCTTGAGATGTCACATGTGAGCAAGAGGCTGAGACATGGTTAACAGTGAAAGAGAAGAGTGTATGTTAAAGAGCCAGCTGAAATGTAAAGGAAGGTAGCTCTTGTTCCACTAAGTTTGGCACAGAGGACCAAAACTTGGATTCTGAATAACACCAGCCTTTTGGGGAGGGTGAAATGGAATTTACACTTTGTGGCTGAGACCCATCTTTCAAGTAAATGCTCCCTGCAGAGGGGATCAAATAACCCCTTGGTGGAGAATGCAAATATAAACCTGACCATGAGCCACAGCTTTTCTTTACTCTCCTTCAGTACAAGAGGTCTTTTTTACGTGAAGTTTGGATAGCTTGTATGTTTGGGTAAACTAACCCCGTCAAGCTGTTTGTAAACAAATCCCTTATTTCTTAGGCAGTTATTCTACAGTCCAGCCCTTACAATTCATCTGGAAAATGAGGACAAGTTCCTGTCTTGAGAGGGTGTAGTGAGAAGAATTTGTAGTTAAACATCAGAGGCATACATGAAATCAGGGTAATTGACAAAAAAACCCCAAACTGAAAGAACATAAGGTGACTGTCAAAGCGTGGTGGAACATATTAGCAGTAATAAATAACCCAGAAATCTCACTTCATGGAAACAAACCAATGCAAACACTGAAGACAGCCAATTCTAAACACTAATTAGATAGAACTGCATTTTCAAAATGATTTAGTGGGTCAGAGAGCCATTCCCTGGCACTGCCCTAGTGGACACCTGGGCAGAGGCAGTCAGCTCCCCCTTCAAGGTCCCCAGGCTTTGCAGAACACCAGTGGGGAACCAGGGGCCCGATCAGGGGAGCAAGAAGAAACAAAACATCTTATGCATGGTAGACCTTTGAGAATTTGGGCCATGGAGGAATGCAGAAGTCAGGATTTCTCTAGGTTGTTACAGATTAAGAAGGTTTTTGCAGGAACAGTTTAGCAAGGTTTTATGGTAAGCAATAGAGCACAGGCTATGTTAGGTTTGCTGAATATTTGCAAATATGAATTACAGTCCTTGTAAATGCACTGAGCTAGTCATGTGGGATGGAAGTCTTGTGCTTCAAGCAGCTTGTACGAGTGGCTGATGTGATTGCTGACTCTGGCACTGTATGTTATAATTTAAAATAATTGATACTGGTTCTGGCTCTGCCTTTTTCTTTCATGAGCAGTTAGCAGTTTAAATTTTGAGAGCTCCAGTGTACCAGCATTTTGTTTCTTGCTGTACTTTTCTGCCTCCCATCAAGCAAGTACCTAGCTGAGAGCAGGAGGCCAGGGATGGCCTCTAGTGAAATGTCAAGATGTCTTATTCTCAGGCAATCACCTTTGGACAGTTGTCACATGAACACATGGTCTCTCCTAAATGGCTTCACCTTCATTTGCACCAATAGAAGCTCCATTGGTCTCTATATGGAGAAGCCTTGGACAGTCCAAATCCTCTGCTCTCTCCTCCCATCTCCTCTGTGCCTGTGGTGAGTCTCCAGGCCCTCGTAGTGTTCATTATTCCACAGGGTCTTCTTCTGCCTGGCACTTGGCCACCAAGAGGTCTGTGAGCTCACAGGACTTTGCCCAGACACTGCCCAGTGTCTTCCACAGGCAGCCTGGTGTCATTGCCCATTGCCCACAGCATGGGCCACAGGGAAATGTGAAAATGTAAAAAGGGGCTACCCTGACTTCCTGCCCTCTCTTCAAAATTTGCTGCCAGGTCCTGCCACCCCAGGGCCCTCACGACCACCCCTGAACAGCCATAATCTGAGAGAACAGGCCTGTGACAGCCCATACCCTTCAACCCCCTAAATTTTGGTGCTCTGTGGCTTGTCTCTCTCTGTGTGGATGAGTAACAGAGCCTTATTTAGACAGCAGTACGGGCTAAATAGCGGTGACCAAATAAGCACCTTGCAGAGGTCCGGTGGAACAAAAGTGCCAGTGGTGGAGGGTCCCAGGAAAGGGTTTTTCTTGCCTCTGAGTTTTACAGTCGTGTTGATAGAGGCGAGATCTATTTTGAAATGAAGTTTCAAAGCCCCAAGTCTTTAGAAAGACTGCTCGTAACAGATTATTTTCCTTTTGATGTTAGTAGATTAATTAAGCCGCTGAAATCTAAAGTGAAGGGTAAAGTCAAGCCTACCCTCAGCAGTAAGCATGAGCTGGCAAGTATGAAATGGGTACTTTTCTCTCACCTTTCAATTACAATTTGGGCCTCGTGTTTAGAGTGACGTGCAGGCTGTTCTCTCAGGAGATCCAGCAGGCAGGGCAGGTGCCAGAGCAGGGCTCGTCCCCCAGGGCTCTGCCAGGTAAAAGCCCGTGTGTCCATCCCGCACCATCGGAGGTGTGCGGGAATGGCATCACCTGCTGGCACCGCTCCCATTCCCCTCACACAGAGAAAGGTGGAGGGACAACCCATCCTGGAGGGACACAGGGGACATAAGGGGTGAGAAGCGCTGGCTTTCTCTCCTGTGGGGGCAAAAAGCCCTGGCTTCCACCCACACACATCCTCCCACCCCCAGGCACCTGAGGCAAATCCTGTAAGAACGGCAAGGTTGGTTGCAAGGGGCTGAATATGTGGGGCTTAGCTCATACCCTCAGGGATAATGATAACTGACGCATTCACAGAAAGAAATTCTTTAAAGTTCCGTGGTTGTAAAATGGATAATATATTAATGTTTCGGTATGTTTATTAAATACTTAACAATGTAATTTTTTTGAAGACTATCCTAGCATTGCTATCTTTTTGCATGTGCTTAGTTACCATTTTAAACAACTACAAAACAGTGACATGTGGTAGTGAAGATTTCCTAAGCATCCCAAAGCAATATATGTGTGTGATATATGACATCCTTCCATAAATCCTAAATTTACACAGTATGCTAATGCTTGATTCCATAATTTCTTTTAAAAATGATTATACCCTGCTGCTAAGAGCAAAGGCATACTAAAATCAGTTTTCTATGCTTTTCCAACAATGAAATGCAAGCCAGCACACCACATAACCAATACTTACCATATGTTAGAAGATAATCCAGTAGGCTTCAGACACTGACATGATTTGCTTAAATAAAAATCCCGTTTTTTAAGGTAGTAACAACAGCCTACCATTTTTATTATTCCTTTAGTGACCTACTACAGAAACACTAATATTAAACATAAATATTTTTATTGTAAATCAGCCTAGTCTATTTTCATTGCCTTTAATGCAGGATGGCACTGGATTATTTGCTAGGCTAAAGGAAAAAGAGCTGCCATTAAATCATTGGGTTGTTTGAAGAAATTCTCAAAACCAGAAAATATTCATCAGATCAAACGAAGCCTAAAGAGCAGCTTCAAGATTTCTCTGGTATATTGGAGATGAGATGAAACAGTTTGATTTGGTATTAAAATAATTAAATATAGTCCAAAAAAACAGCTATAAAATATTTTTGTAGAGCACTGGTATCTCTTAAGTGCAGTTCATTACTTTCCTACTCTGTACCAAATGAGACTTAATATTAAGCACATGCTTAAGTGTTTGCAAATTTGGGGTCTAAGGAAAGGAAATGTGAAATGCAATTTTTATAGTGAAAGGAATGAATGCATCTGACAGGTTAAGATTAAGGCTCTATGCACTAATGTGGCATCTTTCATTGTTACAGAATGATAAGAAAATAGAAAAATTGCATGTAGAAAGTAAAAGGTAGCATATACATGAATTCCTTTTCTTTCAGACTCACCAGGGAAAACATACTTGATCTCAAGTACTGCTTAAAGGTAGAAAATAAAATTTTTTAAAGCTGACACACTTCCAATTTTTCCCAAATCATTAGGGCATCAGAGCTGAATGCTTGACCTCACTAAAGTCAATGATAGATGAAAATATGGATCTAAAAGAAATTCATGACTATTGTCTCTAGACCATTTGTCTCACATCATACTTTTAAATACTGTTATAATTTCAAGTTATGTAAAGACATGATCCTTAGTAAAATGTATTTGCACCTGTGAGGCAGTGCTTTATATTCCCTCTTAGTGCAAAAACTGTGTAATAAATCTCAGCTTGCTGGATCTATTAACAGGCCAGTTTCTCCAGCTAGATGTGTCTGAATTTCTGGTGGCCTTTTTCTCAGACCAGACGATTCCAGCTGGAGTAGTGGCTAGTTTTATTGAGTAATGGACTGAGCAAAACCAGTAGTTATGGGGATACAAAGAGTATTCCCAATGGGAGCATTTGGCAGTATGTAGAAATATTTGTAATAGGAGGATCTGGCATGTTTCCAGCATCTGCAAAAAATGTAGACTCCTCCTTTACTCCCAAAATATGCAAAGGGTTTACAGCCGAGAACAGAGAAATGTGGGAACTCCACAACTTGACACATTGATCTGCTCCCAAATTGCCCACAACTGCATACGTGCTTTGGAACACCCTCTGCAAACCCCAACATTTGGATTAAGAGTTTGTTAGTTCTTTTTCTAATTAATAGCAGAGTGAATTATTTTGCTCATTATGTAGTTAGCTATTTATTGGGCCAGATCCTAAGCTGGGGTTAATCAGCATAACTATTGATCTTGACAGAACTTCCCCAGTTATCTCAGTTACACTTCTGGATATTTGACTTTATGTGATTTTTCAATAATACACTAGAAATTAAAAATGGAAGTATATGTTTGAATTTTTATAGGTAAATTAAATTCAGACTTTTCATAAGTACAATAGATTATGCACAATAATTAATTTTGGACTGGGTTTTGTGGTAACAAAATAGGAGTCATTCTTTTAGCTGCTGGGATAATTTTATGAAAATGTATTCAAAATTACTGAAAGGATTCTATTGTGGCATAATCCCATTGAAAATAATAGCTACACTATACAACATTAACTAGCCAACATTTTTTTTTTTTTGACATTTGGAAAATATCACAGGTTACCTCAACCTTCTGTTGAGTCAAAGCTCACATGTTCATTTTGTTGTAACCTACTTTAGAGACAAATCAAGCATATCCTTTTCCTTAGTATTGAAAATTAGATTGTACTAATTGTTTATAACCTTGGGTTATAAATGTACACCCTGGGAAAACGGGCCAATAGAGGACACAGGAAATTATATGACTGTCCAATGGTAGGAATATTACTTTTGAGAAAATATAAAGGTACAATAATCTTAACAAAATTTATGACATGAAAGCCTGGATGCCATTTTCAGAAAATTCAAACATGTAATCCCTGTTGCAGTAAATCCCAAATCCTGCCCTGTAGAAATGCAGGCTGTGAGCACATTTCAAATTAATGAATGAACCCATGCATAGTGATGTACTAGAATTTAGGGAAGTTTCTAAAGCATACTTAGATTCCTAACTCACTTATTAAATCAAATATTCTAAATACCTTTAAAAATTGGCCAGTTGCACTATTTACTGAAGGACTCATACAATAGCAGGCTAAACCTTCACTTAGTTATGCAAAGATGTATGTTCTTGTGAAAGTGTCAGGGAATTTTGGCTTAAATAGTATTTTACAACAATTGTCATATTTCTTTTTCCAGTTCATTCTCTGAGTATAGGAGGAGCCTTGGGATGGTCAGGGTTATCTATGAGGAGAGGGAGTTCCACATGCACTGTGCAGAACAGAATGGCTGCTTGTAGGCATCTAAAGCTGCACCATTCTGTGCCAACGTGATGGTGTCACTTTCCAAAAAGGTGACTGATTTACACCTTAATGAAAATGTGACCCCCATGGTTACCTGTATTGTGCTGTCCCAGATAAGACTGATTAGTCAGACTGAGAGGCACACTGCTAGCAAACTGCTGTCCCTCAATTTTAGTCACATGAGCACTTACTGGCCCAGCTGCTTTTAATGAGAGTTGCATGGCTAAAGCTTAGTCTAGTCTTGAACATCTTTGTGCAGAACCAATAATTATTCTAGCAACAAGAGAGTTGGCTCAGAAAGTTGTAAATTAGAGTTGATTAGATAGATATGGTGTCCTTCTCAACCCAAAAGCAAGATTTAGTACTCTAATATGGAAGCTATGAAATTTATTTTAAAGTATGGTGTAAAGCCAGTGGTCAAGAATGTGTAACTATACCAATAAGATAAACTCAAACTGTAGGAGGTTTGAATAATCTTGCAACATGATGTATTTCAAATGTATCATATAACACTTGCCTCTTATTTTACTGCCTGTACCATGATATTTATGCTGTTTCACAAACGGGTGAATTACCTAGTAGTAGCTATAAAACAGGTTGTATAAATACAGATTTCTCTTTCTCTTGGTGTTTGTGGGCTGTGGTCATTGCATGGTCAATTGCTGGAAAAGTTGTTCCTGGAGAATTCCAGTGGGCCTTTCTCTGTACAAAAAGGGCAGCTTCTGAGGCTTACCAGAGATTTGCATTGTACAGGGGCAACACCTTACCCAGGTATATTGTACTTTAGTACCAATATGGAAACACCTTGCAATCACCTATGTATGTGAGGATTTTCTGCTTCTTGAGTCCTGACTCTTCTATAGAAGAGTTGAAATACATTCACTTACAAAATCTTTAGTCATCAGTC